ACGATTTATTGGCGACTGCAGTGGTAGCAAAGCGTGTTTACGCGCTGCGAGACTACCTTTTCAGCAGGCATTAGCCTGTGGAGGTGCATCAGCACCGAGACCTGCGGAAGCCAAATGATACCCACCATTGCTTACATGTAGATGCACAAGTGGGACAATCTGTCGAGTGCGATGCGCTGTATCTGCACCGAGCATTTCCGCAGTCGATCTGACGACAATGGCGACGAGTAAGAAGCTGGCGAGTAAACGCAAAAAGGCCACATACCCGTGCCCCGTCTGATATTGGTTCCTCGTGCGCGCAAGCATGACGTGCATACGGTACGCGTCTGTGGCACATAGTAGATGTTGATTTGGAGTTGAGAGTAATTGAGCAAGATTAGAATGGCTAGTACGGACGAAGCTGGCACTGCAGTAAGGAGGGGTGAGACGCTGAGATGTTGTGCTCGTTTGCTCTCGCCGTATTTAAAGGATCGTGTCGATTTCATGCTCAAGCGCGATTGGAAAAAATGATCATTTTGCCATTCATGTATTCCAGAGTAGGGCAAAGGGACCAACATATTGGAAATGCGCCCAGTCTAACATAGGTAAAGCCCGCTCCGGAGAAGGCACGGGCATAGTTAATGGTCGACGTCTCAAAGAAGGTCGCCGCCAGATTGCGAATGTGCAAAGTGGCAGAGTACTGCTCCCCGCGCGTGGCCGGACAGAGTAAATGCAGCTTGAAGGAACCAGCCACGTTTTCTATGTATTCTATTCGGAAAGGGCCGAGCGTAGCAACATACGATAATAACGCATTTGTGGCAGCGACGAATTCTGGACCAATAATGAGGGCGACACTAAATTTATGAGATCGAGCTTACGGCCGGCCAGCGTAGGGCTTGCTGTGAAGCGGCCACGATCTCGATTAGATACTGGGGTAGAGTCGCAGCTGCTATGTTATGTTCTCCCCGGATCGCCGAAATGAATAATCAAAATTCTTCCCTTCGTGAAGATGTTGATGGCTCTCAAAATTTTGACGTATATATAGTGCGTAGAGGCGTGGAAGCATAACCGTGTCTTGGGGACTGAGTTGCCTGTGACGAAAGCCAGGGCGTTGGGGCAGAAGATAAGGTTTGACGGTTTATGTCACATTCACAAATGATTGGTTGTTGACAGGGCCTACGCGCACGCCACCGGTACTGCAAGGCAAGAAGCTTGCTGTAGCTTGCGGTCTGCTGCATGTGCCAGCTCGTTCAAACATATGTCGCAATTGACTTGTCGAGCCAAAACGTATGCTCCCACCAATTACTGTCCGCTTTGACCGCTTTGACTGGCCTTCCTGCTGCATTGAGTATAGTGGAATGTTCAAGGCGCCATATCTCATCGACCCCAATTTGTCGTAGATATGTTTTAAGCCGATTGTAGTTCAGACCAACTGCGTGAGGCCCGTGACTATCGTCTGAAAGTGCAAATCGACCTCCTAGGCTTGCGACCAGCTACATATAGTTATTATTCTGATTGGAAAGATCTAAATGTGATGACTGTGCCAAATACCTGGATGATGTCTCCCGCAGGATATGCGGATTGCCAGCCTTTCCGGAAAGCCGCAGCGTTGGCTTCAAAAAGAGCACCATACTCAATAGCGAAGTGCACGTTGCGCACAATCTTTTCCCAGACCAATGGATAGTCGGAGAAGCGCAGTTCGGGATGATATAGACGACATAGGTCAAAATGACCGATGATTTCAGGTTTGAATCGGCGCATGAGATCGTGCTGGGCGTCGAAGTAGTCAGAAAGTAAGGCTTCCATACGCGCTGCATCCGAATCTTGATTACCATCCGAAACGACCAAGCTAGATAGAGCTTTATCGAAGGTGCCTATATCGAAATCGATGGGAACCCCATTGACATGGTGCACAGAACCAACGAGATATTCGACGCGATTGCCGTGTTTCAAGAGTAGCTCTTGCAATCGCTCAAGATCGGACGGGGTGATGAGTTCGGTCTCGAGGCCAACGAGTAAAGTTATGCTGGACTGGTATTTGGTTTTCAAACGATGTGCTTCATGTAGAAAATCTTCGAATTGCTGCGTCAGGACATCCAAAGATTCACCCCGCTGTCATTCCGTCGGATTAAGCTTGAATGCTGCATGAAAGCAATCTCACTTCTTCGGGGTACATGTCCTCCTCTCGATAGCGAGGAACATGCTCTGTCAGCCCATACAGTTCAAAACCTTGTTGAACGGCTGCGAGTACGACCTCTTCCAAGAGCCCAGAAGCGTGCTTGCAAAACTGTCCCGAGTGCGAGTGATGGCTGTGGGGCATTCCAGTTTGTCGCAGATATTCTAGCCTCTTCTTGAGTGGCGTGATGGAGAAGTATATAGGGTAGCTTAGACGTACGAGGGTGGGGACTCAGAACGACTTGAAGGGGGAAAGGAGCTAGCCAAGGACTTGTCGATCACCGCCACTTGACACCTGTCTTGTGGAAGAGCGCCTAACTCAGTCTCCTGTGTCCAACCATCATTTCACCAGGAATCGACGGCCCCATCTATTGCGTTGATGGAGTAGGTAAATTAGATACCAAACTATATACGATGATAGGTATGACACATATGGACTGTACTGTGATGCGGTGGTATGTGATTTGTTTCCGATGCAATTGTCTATGGTTGTGTATGGGAAAGTGCTCGATGATGTGGGTGCTCTGCATGGTATCAGAACCGTAGCTATGAAGGATGAAGTACAGCCCATGTTCGATAAGAATAGACGAAATGCTAAGCGGAGAGAGCGAACAAACCAATATAATAAACTTGACTAGCACCAGGCATGTCTATCAAGGAAGTGTTTGCCAAAAGCCTACGCAGCGATACGCTGTTGGCGCATCTTAATGGGAGTGAACCTATTTGAATGGTTGGTCCACATAACGCTGAGGAAGCCGAAAATGGTCATGATGAATCGGACCATCCAAGCTGCGTCCGCGTTTGCGCCGAGACCAGGGCGGAGCTGCATGGCTAGCGCGATGTCAAACTCTGGGACTGGAGACCGGAAGGCGCGGCGCCGTTTCGGGGGCGGGACTGCGAGCGCGAACGCGAAAGCATCCGCAGACGGGCTCGAGGGAGCGTGTACGGGTGAGGGTGGAAGAGACTCCACAGGCATAAGTGGCGAGAGGGCGATATCTGTAGATTTGGAGGCTGGAGGGACGAACAGCGAGGAATCATCATCTGCGCGAAGTGACCAAGCCGGGCGAGAGATATGAGCTAAGCTGAGCTCTCGCATGTGCTGAGGTCGGTGCGCAGGCGAATGTGGTCGAGCAGTCACGACTGGTTCTCTTATGAGAGGGCCAGGTCCAAGCGAAGGCAATGGTGGATCGTTGCTATCATTCTCCTCGATCGTGCCGACTTGGGAAATAGTTATAACAGGGAGCGGTATTGGTTCGGATTGTTGCGTCGGCTCTGGTAGGGGCGTTGATTGTGGTAGTGGTGTCGGTTGAAGTAGATCGGTAGAGGCGTCAAAGAATTCATTGGAATCTTCAATGTCCTCCTCGTCCTCTGTGACATCGATTAGGTCGGTAGGTGTGATTGTCTCTATGGATGATGTGTCCGAAGACTGGTCCCCGAATGTGATGAGATTGGGGAAGTCGAAGTCAGGTATGTCACGAGCCGCCATGGAGCCCATCGGGGAGAGCCATGGGTTGGGATGTTGCTTCACATCCAGCAGGGCAGGTGTGGCCAGTAGATGAGCATCTGCGTCTTCCGGGGTGGAGTCGAGCATATCTTCTTGACTCTTAGGCAATGAACTTTCGGAGTCACTGTAGGCACCAACGTCGCTGGTGCGGGGGAGCAGCTCCCAGGCCATTTGAGCTCTGAGTGCTCGCTTGCGCAGATAAATACGTACGCACATCACCGCTGAAACACTGACGAGCGCTGCAAGACACGAGTACATGACCACGGTTAGCGAGCTTGCGCCCGCATGTGGAGCCCCATCATCTGCTATGTGCTGAACAGAAGCTTCGAGGGATTTCGCAGGGCTGACGACGGCAGCGTCTAAAGCGTGTAGGTCGTTGCTATCTGTGGCAGCAGCATGCGTGTCGTCATTCAAGACAAGCGATACCAACTGTTCAAGCGACAGTCTTGATGGCAGCATGAGCAACTGGGGAAGTTGGAGCATACAATCGAGAGACTCACGCCAGCCTTGATTCAGAGACGCTGCGAGTACTGGGGAATGTCATGGAGCGAGCGTCGACACTGTGTCAATCATTAGCCACGAGGTACAAGTCATTCGAGTGAGTGAACGTACGACGATTCCGCTTGCTGCACTACGGGACGAGCCGACGCGACCAGCGCTAGACAGAATATGGAGAACAGCAGCGTAAGAAGCATAGTCTACCGGACTCCTTAGACAAGCAGACTGGGGTTTTTGTCGAGACGCTGCAGGTTGTGACCGTGAACGTTGGCGGCGAACAGCAAAGGTCCGGCGTGCCAGGATTCTGTCCTCGCCGGGACAGCGTGATCACCACGCGCCGCGCTAAAATTACCGAACCTGGTTGAACTTGAACTTGAACTTGAACTCCGAAGTTTCTGCATCTGTCTGCCTCGGCAATTGGGACATCGAACCATTGTGATTTAGAGACGAGGCTATATTTCATTCCGTGATCATTGCACGCAGAAAAGTTCTCAATGTGGAAGTAAACTGAGTACTGTCGAGTGGCAATTTCAATTTCGCTCACGGAACGGATTTATATTGCAAAGGATATTTGCATTCATGATTACTGGATTTCTGTCTATTCAAGCCACATACAACCTGTTTCTGTGGCTCACATATGCTGCTATGCACCTTACGGCGATCAACCATGGCTACTGGACACAGTTCCCGTGACATTGGTGTGCCTCAGAGATTGAAAACATTGACGTGAACTGAACGTTCAATCTCGGTGAATTGACGCTAGCTTGACTCTTCTTAAGAGGAGGCAAAATAGTATTCTGTTCTTCTGTTCAACCCACCACAAAGTGATGATTAAGAGCCAAAATGGACACTGGGAGGATTGAACTCCCGACCTCACGCAATCTAATCGACAAGATGCGAAGCGTGCGCGCTACCACTGTGCCAAGTGCCCCATGACGACATGTCAGTCTGTTGGATTATGATCTGGCGTCATACTACAGCCCTTAATCAAGGCGGCATTACTGTATCTATTGTAATTCGCTTCTGTGCTCTTCACCCCTACCACCATGGAGCAGGCCAGTATCTTATTCGTTTTGCATCCGCTCTCACTAATTTCTCTGCCCTCAAGTATGTATACCGCGGCCATCATTTGGTCATTTTCTGGTGTCCTGCTCGTCCCATCCCGTCTACTCTTGCGCACGGCACCTCATGCGCCTGGACCTCCAAAACCAATCGGGCCCGTGGGATACCAAGCCATACCAGCTGATATTAGACAGAAGGAGTATTGTAGAAAACAAGGTGTCGAGTGGAAATAATTACTACAGTCCGATTAAATAATAACGATATGTCGACCTGGAAGAAAGAAGGGGATATGTCTGCGTTTTTCAACGAGTAAGTAAGCCGGCGCACATCATCGATGTGGCAAATGGCGTTCAGCTGCACTTGGCACGCTTTGATACCCGCGTCCGTGAAGGAGTCACGGGGGATGAGGGCGGCGGACGAGACTTACTCAACACAGCAGGCGGGGTGCCTGGGATGGCGTTCTCATCCTCATCGCCGGAGAAACCTTTGGCAGACAGCTCGGACTGGTCCTCGCATCTAAGATCTTTGAGCCTTCGAGCGGCCTCCTGAGCTCTGAGCGCCTCGTAAACTGTTCGAAGTCTTTCCCGATCGCCGGCCCCGATACCGTCCGGATCCCCTAGCTCCAATTGGCCCTCTGCGGAGTCAAAAGCGGAAATCACATCGGTGTAAAGGTCGTCGTATCTGTTGAGTTCGAAGGCGGCTCGGAGCAAGTCATAAAACTGCGTGATAAGCGGCAGCAATGGCTCCGCCCACCTGGATAAGTTGCAGACGATAAATTCCCTGTACGCGCATTTTGCCGTGAATATATATTTTTTGAACCGTCCTCGTGAATAATCACTTTGGGTTGAGCCGAATATCAAATTCGTGCTATTCCGCAATTCGATTACGTTGTCGGAAGCAGGGATGTCGGAGTTGAGAAGATCTTGTCGATATCTCGCGGGCCCGTCGTAGAAGATACAGACATGGACTAAAACCCAAAAGAAGGACTCGATATCATGTTGTGGGCCATGTTGTGGCTCTGGTATAGGCTTATTCCGCTCTGCATCGCTGAAGTCCCAGAAAATAGGACTTTTGAGCAACATTTCTGCGGACATAAAGGGACGAGTGCCCTATGCGACCAAAACATGGGTCAGCATGCGGTTCAATAACAGATGTGATGATGATACCCACGGTTTGTTGATCACCCTTGGTAGCCTGATGAGTTTTCCAGAAGATGGCATTGTCAAAGTCGATCAGCACGCCACGCTTTCCACGTTCATCGAGATTCTTGCCAGTGATCAGTATATTGCCTTCACTGATATCTCGGTGCAATACGCCCCTGTTGTATGCGTTCTGGTGGCCTGCATGCATAGTCAACAACCATGTCAAGCCCAAATGTGAGCCTATGTCTTACCAATGATCGCATCTCGCATAGAGCCGATCAGCTCCAGCAAAGAACTTGCGTAGAATATAGGCCACCCGTATGTCTTGGTCGCAGAACGTGAATGGGCGCGGCTCTCAGGCTTCGCATTCTTGAATGCGTCAATGGGCGGCAAGAAGTCGGTGTCGACAAAGTGATCAGGAATGTAACCCCACTCCTGCTTCGCGGAATCGGTGTCATCATCTTGATTGTACACTTTGACGGGTTGTTGCCTGACAATATCTCGTGGCGGCCCCTGCGCTTCTAAGCCTCCACGGATGGCCGATGTGGTGTCGGCCTCGCCATCGACTTGAACGGCGCAGTATGAATCCAACTCAGCGACGCCGTCGCAAGCCCCGATACGTTCATAAAATGCGCCCTCCAGGTCCCGGCGGTCGTCACTCCAGGCATCCTTAATGATATATACCTGATATAGCTAGTGAGAACGGTAGTATTGCGAGTAATTTGCGGAGACTTACGGTACGGTCGCCCGGAGGTAAATGCATCTCCTCTTCAGCCCACGCTTTCCACACCCGCGTTGCTCTCCCCTTGATCACCTCGCTCCGGCCAACATCGACTTTCTTCCATATGATGAATTTCCTTGCCTCGTAGGTGCGTTCAGGTGGCCCCACACTCACATGTTTCGAGAGTTCAATACGCCATCGTTTCGCGCCTTTCTGGTTTAAATCTGTTTCAAAGGAGTGTTGGGTCGAGTTCTGGTCGTTCTTATCGTAAACGGTTGTTGTTGGATCCCAGCCGAGTCTCGAAGGTCGTAATATGGTGAGGCCGGCAATGACGCGGATTAGCCGAAGAGGCTCCTAAATGCACTAATTAGTATCATTCGATATCAGTAAAATCGAGCACTTACTTTGTGAATGTCAAAAGTCTCTGATCCTAAAATGCCTGAGCGGTCCGCCAAGTAAACCGTCAGCTTTCTTCCTGCAAGAACAAGACCAAAAACGTGGCGGCGATCGATACATTCCCTAAAGCACTGGCGCAGGTACTTTGTTAGTTGTATCATTGCAGAAGGTCCTCCGTCATATCGTTTGACCTCCACAGGAACCTGTATGCGCGTCCACGGCACTTGATCAGGCTTGCCATTATCTGGATCGGGCATACCAGAGCCGATGGCCGCAATGATGTATGGCTTGTATTCGACGGCGCGTTCGTGTAGACTGAGGGGAGCTTGGTCGGGGTCGGAGAGCCATGTGAGTTTCGTTGCGGGAGTGCAGGTTTGTGAGATGAAATTGGCGACCTCTACAAAGGGCTCATATAGTGCCTTTTCGGTGGAGCCCTTTTGCTCGAATGCCTTCCAGTGTTCGCGAGATTCGTTATAGAAGTGAAGATCAAAGCTCTTCGTGTACAGCTTCTGTACCAGGTCGGAATCGACATCGAAAATTTTCTCAAGAAATCCCGGTGTGTTGGTGAAGACGTCGTGGTGAAGTTCCTCACGAAGAGCATTTTCGACATGCCCAGCTTTGGTCACATGGATACTAGAGGCGGAATATTGGGGTTTGAGTGGGGTTCATGGAAGAGGGGAATGGGGACCTGCATACCTGCCTTTAGAACTCTCCATTTCCTCGTTCCGATGCGACTTGTTTGTTTCGACTTCCTGGACCATACCTAAGATCTCAAGACTTCATAGATACGATACGGCGAGCAAAGCAGCCAGATGTCAGTGGACAGTCACGAAGCAGATAGTGTGACTGCCATGACTTCGATTGACGCCTCGTTGACGCCCACTGAGACAAACAAAGCAAACAATGCATGCCGTGATGACGATCGATGATCCGAAACACGTGCTTGCGCCGTCCTGCCAGAAGCAGCCACCACTGGCACACCTCCTCTTCTGAATCTCTGTTCTCTACTACCTGTGCTTCTGCCAACGTTCGATAGTTCAAGAAACTTGTGGATACTCATTAAGTACTCATTCGCTGAACAAGATTATTTCGTTCAAGTCCCGCAATTATCCCCTCCACGTTCAGACCCCACGAACCCTCTGATGGTGGCAAGCTGCTATGTGGCACAGAGGCATTGGCAATGAGTGCAACAGAAGCGATGCTTGTCAAGAGTTGCCACGGTCGATCGATGCTTGGTCAAGGCCGCGACTATGGCGCAGCAGTGAGGCGAGAAGGCGCTCTTGTAACGGCCTCAACGCTGGGCTGGGGGCCAAAAAATCCGCGAAGTACAATATTCCCGCTGTATCTAAGCAGAGGTTATGTGTTCGATATTTATGACAAACATCCGGAATTCGAGGTGAATTGGGGAACAATCGCGATCACGTGAATAACACTTCCAAGATCCAGCCTGAAGTTCAAATGTTTACTGCTCTTCAACCAATTCCCTGTCATCGACCAGGGCCCAGGACAACGATTCTTAAATTCTACATCAACTCTTACTTATTTCGATGTCCTGCCTTGCGTATCATTCGAGGAACTTCGTTTCTCTCATGAGCCTAGAGCTCGTCGCCTTGCTCTCAAGCAACCGTTGCCCTTAAGCCGGTAGTTTCTCTAGAACTCCGAGCTTATAGAAAATTTCAAGTGCGTGATTGCAAAATAAATTGAAGCAATTATGAGGGTATTAAACAGTCCTACGTATTGCCCGACTGTTTCTGGTCAACTATCAATGCTGATTGTGCATTCAAGATGATGCAATTCCAGTGATGTTGATAGACGTCTCGGTGCTCCCAACCTGGTAGAAGGGAGTGCCAGCCGTGCCGTTGGTGGGGTACGTCACGTCCAACGTGACCACATACGCGGCATCCGCAAAGTAGAACGCGTCAGGAATCTAGAGCAGACGTCACATCAGCAAATGAGCATGTTACAGCAGGCAAGTGGCACTCACGGAAGCGCTGAAGGTGTCGGTGGGGGGCGTGCCAGTGGACTGGTGGAATTCGCGGCGGGCGAGCAGAATGGGCGGCTCGTGTCCGTTGTTGTTGGTGGGCACTTCGATATAGTAGTCGATATACTCGGGGACGATGCCGAAATAGAGCGAGCAGGTGAAGTCAGCGTGCACGGTGAAGGACTGCATGGTCCATCCGTCAGTTTTGTTGACAGATAGACTGAGAGGAAGCTACTCACATCGCCAACTGCGACAGTGGACGGCACGACCTGAAGGGTACCGAAGCGGGCCGCCTCAGCACAAGTGACTCTCTTGGTGGGGGTAGCGGAAGCGACTGCCGCGAGCGACAAGAGCAAGGCAGAGAGCTTGAATTGCATTGTGAGTAGAGATCTGTAGCGGTGAAGTGATGAGGATTGCTTGGTGAGTCACTCTGCTTTCATATCCCATATTATATACCGCGCATGATAGGGGCTGCGCTCGGCATGACTGGCCATGATGATGTGCAAAGTGCAGATCACGGTCTCTCCCTTCCGTGTGTACGTTCATGGTTGCTAGTGAATTTCAGGCGCTATGACGTATACGGTATAGCAGACGGTCTTGAGCCTCCGAAGCTGCGCGAGCGGTATGAA